GGAACTCCTCAGGGCTGCGTCCTTTCCCCTCTGCTCTTCTCCCTGTATACCAACAGCTGCACCTCCAATCATTTGTCCGTCAAACTATTGAAGTTTGCGGATGACACCAGCCTCATTGGGCTGATCTCTGGTGGGGATGAGTCTGACTATAGGTGGGAAGCTGACAATCTGGTGACCTGGTGTAGCCAGAACAACTTAGAGCTAAATGCTCTAAAGACAGTTGAGATGGTTTTGGACTTCAGGAAGAATACAGCACCACTCACCCCCATCACCCTGTTAAACTCCCCAGTCAAAATTGTAGAGTCCTTCCGCTTCCTGGGCACTATTCTCTCCCGGGACCTTAAGTGGGAATTGAACATCAGCTCCCTCACCAAGAAAGCTCAACAGAGGATGTACTTTCTACGGCAGCTGAAGAAATTCAACCTGCCAAAGACAATGATGGTGCAATTCTATACAGCGATCATTGAATCCATCCTCACCTCCTCCATAACCGTCTGGTATGCTGCTGCCACTGCCAAGGACAAGAGCAGACTGCAGCGTATCATCCACACTGCTGAGAAGGTAATTGCCTGCAATCTACCAACCCTCGAGGACCTGCACACGACAAGGTCCATGAGGCGAGCGAGGAAGATTGTGGCCGATTTCTCCCACCCTGGACACTCTCTGTTTCAGCTACTCCCCTCCGGCAGAAGGCTTCGGTCCATCAGGACCAAAACCTCACGCCATAAAAACAGTTTCTTCCCATCTGCTGCTGGCCTGTTAAACGAGGCCAAGGGCTAACACTGATTTTAACATTTTATCTACATAATGACACCTTGCCGATATTAACTATGTTAACCTATTTGTATTTTTTATTTTTAAATTATATCTTAAAGCTATTTTATATTCGATATTTATTCAATTTTATATAATTCAGCCCCTTGGCGTTAGTTAGACTTTTAACCCTTATTATTATAGTAAGACTTGTTTAAAACTTATTTAAGATTTTAGATTCCTATATGTTGAATGTATGCACCATCCTGCCAAAGTAAATTCCGTGTCGGTGTGAACTTTCATGGCGAATAAAACCCTTTCTGATTCTGATTCATTCTCAATAGGAATCGATTCTAAACGCTCTCCTTTTCTAACACAATCGATTCTCATGGTAGGTATCCCAATGGGATTCGATTTTATGCGCTTTAAATCCCTAGCTAGATCGATTCCTATGTTATTAGAACAAATCGCCATAATCAATTCCCATGTTATCGAAAATGTATTCGATTCCATTTTACACTCACGACCAACGTCAATTCCAATGCAGTCCCAATGTGGATCGATGCCATCGGCTACATTTTTGACCACTATCGATTCGCATTTGTTATCCCCACAGGAATCGATCCGAGTTTTTAATTTAACCTTGAATCGATTTCCTCAGCACGTGACTTGGGTGAGGCGGGTGCGTGGCTGCGTGTGGGGTTAATGGCGATGTCGAAACTCTACAAACTTGGCCTACTCTTCCCCTTCATCCTGCCTCTCCTCCTCCTCCACCACCACCCCGTCACGTGCAGCAGCCACGGTGAGCAGAGCCCGAGGTGGTCGATAAATCGGGTGCCAGGTTGTGTGATTGTGTGGGGAGTGGTGGTGCAGTGGTTAGCACACTGTGTGAGTGTGGGGAGTGGTGGTGCAGTGGTTAGGTCACTGTGTGTGTGAGTGGGGAGTGGTGGTGCAGTGGTTAGCGCACTGTGTGTGTGTGTGAGGAGTGGTGGTGCAGTGGTTAGCGCACCGTGTGTGTGAGTGAGGAGTGGTGGTGCAGTGGTTAGCGCACTGTGTGTGAGTGTGTGGGGAGTGGTGGTGCAGTGGTTAGCGCACTGTGTGTGTGTGAGGAGTGGTGGTGCAGTGGTTAGCGCACTGTGTGTGAGTGTGTGGGGAGTGGTGGTGCAGTGGTTAGCGCACTGTGTGTGTGTGAGGAGTGGTGGTGCAGTGGTTAGCGCACTCTTGAGTGTTTTTTCCCCATCTGCCCAGCTCCGCTGTTCCCACTGAATGTTCGTTTGGAGTCTCGAGACCTCCTGGCGACGCTTTGCTGGGACCCCGTTGAAGTGGCTCCCAGTGGGGATGGAGGGGATAGACCCCCACTTGTTGATCCTTTAACCATCAACTCGACCACCACGACCACGACCAACTCAACGTTCCTGAATGTTACATACAGAGTTCAGAGCAAACTGTGAGATGCTCACTCACTCAGCCACTCACTCACCAACCCACTCATTCACCCACTCACTCACCAACCCACTCACCCACTCACTCACCAACCAACTTACCCACTCACTCACCAACCCACTCACCCACCCACTCACTCACCAACCCACTCACCAACCCACTCACTCACCAACCCACTCACTCACCCACTCAATCATCCACTCACCCATTCACCCACTCACTCACCAACCCATTCACCCACTCACCAACCCACTCACCCACTCACTCACCAACCCACTCATCCACCAACCCACTCACTCACACACACACACGTCTCTCTCACCCACTGGCTCCTCACCACCCTCACCACTCCTCCCTGTGTCTCTGTCTGCGCAGCTTCAGACGAGCCCGCTGGCAGACCGTCTGCGCTGCCACAACGGAGACACGGTGCGACGTCTCCTCGGCGCTGGACGATCCCGGTGACCGCTTCCTCCTCCGTGTGAGATTCTCCTTCTCATCCTCGCCGTCGCGATCCTCACGCTGGGTCGCCGTTGTGGTCCTGCCCTTGATGGAAAGTGAGTGGCACGAGATTGTACATGCCTGTGTCTCTCTCTCTGTGTCTCTGTGTGTGTCTCTCTCTGTGTCTCTGTGTGTGTGTCTCTCTGTGTCTCTCTCTCTGTGTCTCTGTGTGTGTGTGTCTCTCTGTGTCTCTCTCTCTGTGTCTCTCTTTGTCCGTGTCTGTCTGGTGCTCACTAACAGCACTTGCCCCAACGGTCTTTTTCAGGCTACACGGAGGATCTTTGTCATCTTTGTCTGTGTGTGTCGCTGTGTATGTCTGTGACTCTTTCTGCCTGTGTGTGTGTCTTTGGCTCACAAGGGGAGATCAAACAAACTCTACTCACTCACTCTGTAGGACAGGGGGAGATCACACAAACTCCACTCACTCACTCTGTAGCACAGGGGGAGATCACACAAACTCCACTCACTCACTCTGTAGGACAGGGGGAGATCACACAAACTCCACTCACTCTGTAGGACAGGGGGAGATCACACAAACTCCACTCACTCACTCTGTAGCACAGGGGGAGATCACACAAACTCCACTCACTCACTCTGTAGGACAGGGGGAGATCATACAAACTCCACTCACTCATTCACTCACTGTAGGACAGGGGGAGATCACACAAACTCCACTCACTCTGTAGTACAGGGGGAGATCACACAAACTCCACTCACTCTGTAGGACAGGGGGAGATCATACAAACTCCACTCACTCTGTAGGACAGGGGGAGATCACACAAACTCCACTCACTCTGTAGGACAGGAGGAGATCACACAAACTCACTCGCTCTGTAGGACAGGGGGAGATCACACAAACTCCACACACTCTGTAGGGCAAGGAGAGATCACACAAACTCCATTCGCTCACTCTGTAGAACAGGGGGAGATCACACAAACTCCACTCACACTGTAGAACAGGGGGAGATCACACAAACTCCACTCACTCTGTAGGACAGGGGGAGATCACACAAACTCCACTCACTCTGTAGGACAGGGGGAGATCACACAAACTCCACGCACTCTGTAGAACAGGGAGATCATACAAACTCCACTCACACTCACTCTGTAGAACAGGGGGAGATCACACAAACTCCACTCACTCACTCTGTAGGACAGGGGGAGATCACACAAACTCCACTCACTCACTCTGTAGGACAGGGGGAGTTCACACAAACTCCACTCACTCATTCACTCACTGTAGGACAGGGGGAGATCACACAAACTCCACTCACTCTGTAGTACAGGGGGAGATCACACAAACTCCACTCACTCTGTAGGACAGGGGGAGATCATACAAACTCCACTCACTCTGTAGGACAGGGGGAGATCACACAAACTCCACTCACTCTGTAGGACAGGAGGAGATCACACAAACTCACTCGCTCTGTAGGACAGGGGGAGATCACACAAACTCCACACACTCTGTAGGGCAGGGAGAGATCACACAAACTCCATTCGCTCACTCTGTAGAACAGGGGGAGATCACACAAACTCCACTCACACTGTA